CTGTGGAGTCTTAAGGGCAGCTGGCAGTAGCCTCAGGCCTTGAGGTGCACTGGTCTTTTTGCTAAGCTGTCCCAAGCCAGTAGTGGGGGTAACTGACCTTGGCTTGCAGTGTGGTCTCTCCCATTTGCCTCCAGATCCAGCATAGGGAGCAACCATCCGAGGATCGCTTTGTAGCTCCTACCAGGTAGCCCAGAGCAATCAAAGGCAGTGGCAGACCTTGGCCTACAAGAGGCCACAGAACCAACACACCTGGAGGCCAACATCAGATCATGACAGAACACCATCTGACTAGCCCTACAAGTGCACAAAAGTTGGTCTCTACAGGTACAGGAGACCGCTGGGGTAAATCTCACTCTGTGGGGTTAGCCCCCACACAGCAGCTCATACTCTGTGGGCGTGGCCAATCCCACAGCCAGTATTCCCGAGATTTAATCCCAGCCACTGATGTGCTAACAGCAATCAAGGCTTAGATACAACAGGAGAACACATATAACCACACAAAAACATGTCCAGAGCCCACAGTGCATATAATTTGCAGATAGGAAAAAGCTAAAGCAATTCATCACCAACAAGCCAGAATTATAAGAAATGTTTAGGGAACTTCTATGAAAAGAAGGAGAAAAAAAAGAAACCATAAATATGAATAATAAAATGACGATAACTATGTACTTATCAATAATCACTTTAAATAGATGAAATTTACCAATCGAAAGACATGGAGTAGCTGAATAGATAAGAAAACAATACCCATATATATGTTGTCTATGAAAAATCCACTTTGGATCAAGTGACACACACAAAGTAAAGACATGGACAAAGATATTTCATACAAATGAAAATGAAAAAAAGTTGGAGATAGCAATAGACAAAATAGACTTTAAAACAAAGACAAAAATACGAGACAAAGAAAGAATTGCATAATGATAAAAGGAATATCCAATAAGAGGATATGACTCTTGTAATAAACACTTATGCACCCAATAAAGGAGCATTTAAACATATAAGGAAAATACTGATCAGCATAAAGGAAGAGGTAAATAGTAATACAGTCATAGTAGGGAACTTTCATACCCCATTGACAACAATGGACTGATCTTCTAGACAAAAAATCAATAAGGAAACAGCTGCCTTAAATGACACAGATGAATTTAATTTATATTTTTAGATCATTTTATTTAAAGTAGCAGGTTATACATTCTTCTCCAGTGCATGTGGGACATTTTCCAAGATAAATTACACGTTAGGCCAAAAAACAAGTTTCATTAAATTTAAGAAGAATGAAATCATATCAAGCCTCTTCTCTGACTATAATGGTAAAAAACTAGTAATCGATGATAAGGAAAAAAATCTGAAAAAGACATAAACATCTGGAGGTTAAATAACATGCTATTGAACAATAAATGAGTTAACAATGAGATCGAGGAAGAAATCAAAAGATACCCTGAGACAAGTGAAAATGAAAACACAATGACCCAAAATTTATGGGACACAGTGAAAGCAGCCATAAGAAGTAATTTCACAGCAATACAGGCCTACCTCAAGAAACAAAAAAATCTAAAATGATTTAATATTACACTTAACAGAACTTGAAAAAGAACAGCAAACAAAATCCAAAGTAAGTAAAAAGAAATAATAAAAGATTAGAGCAAAAATAAATGTAATAGAGTCTAGAAAATACAAAAGATCAATAAAACCAAAAACTGGTTCTTTGAAAGGATAAATAAAATTGATAAACCTTTAACCAGACACATCAAGAAAAAAGATATAGAACCTAAATAAATAAAATCGGAAATAAAAGAGAAGTACGGACTCCACAGAAAAAAAGGACTATAAGAAAATACTATGAGCAATTAAATGCCAACAAATTGGACAATCTGGAAGAAATTAATAAATTACTGAAAACATACTATCTTCTACAACTAAGTCGAGAAGAAACAGAAAATCTGAACTGACCGATCACGACTAACAAAATCAAATCAGTAACCAAAAATCTTCCAAAAAACAGAAGTCCTAGACCAGATGGCGTCATAAGTGAATTTGACCACACAATCAAAGAAGAATTAACACCTATTATTCTCAAACTGTTCCAAAGAATTCAAGAGGAGGGAAGGCTTTCTAACACCATGATCAAGGAGGATTTATTACTGGGGTGCCAAATTAGCTTAATATGTACAGATAAATTAATGTGATACATTACATTAACATATTGAAAGATAAAAATCATATGATCTTATCAACAGATGGAGAAAAAACATTCAACAAAATCCATGATAAAAACCTCAGCAAAGTAGGAGTAGAGGAAACATATTTCAATATTATAAAGGCTATAAATGACAAACCTACAGCTAACATCATAGTCAATGAGGAAAGGCTAAAAGTGTTTTCCTTAAGAACAGGAACAAGACAAGAATGCCCACTTTCATCACTCCTCTTTAATATTGTATTGGAAGTCCTAGCCACAGCAACCAGAAAAGAAAGAGAAATAAAAGACATCCAAATTGGAAAAAAAGAAGTAAAACTGTCATTATTTGCAGATGACATGCTATATATAGACCTAAAGATTCCACCAAAAGACTGATAGAAATGATCAAAGAATTCAGTAAAGTAGCAGGACATAAAAATTAATATTCAGAAGTCAGTGGCATATTTATACACCAATGATGAACTTTTGGAAAGAGAAATTAAGAAAAGAATCCCATTTACAATTGCATCAAAAACAGTAAAATACTTAGGAATCAAATTAACCAAGGAGGTAAAAGACCTGTTCTAGAAAAATTATGTCTTTTATAAAGAGGTTAGAGAAGATACAAATAAATGGATAGGAAGAATCAACATTGTTAAAATGGCCATCCTACCAAAAGCAATCTATAGATTCAATGCAATCCCTATCAAAATACCAAAGGCATTTTTTCAGAGAACTAGAACAAATAATCCAAAATTTTTTCTAAAACCATAAAAGATCCTGAATAGCCCTGGCAATTTTGAGAAAGAACAAAGTTAGTGGTATCACACTACCTGATATCAAACTATACTACAAGGCTACAAGGCTATAGTAATCAAAACAGCATGGTATTGACATAAAAACAGACACATAGATCAATGGGACAGAATAGAGAACCTGAAATAAATCTTTGCCTATATGGTCATTTAATCTATGACAAAGGAGGCAAGAATATAGAATGAGGTAAAGACAGTCTCTTCAACAAATGGTGCTGGAAAAACTGGATGCATACATGATAAAAAATGAAACTGGACCACCTTCTTACACCATACACAAGAATCAACACAAAATGTATTCAAGACTTAAATGTAAGACCTGAAACCGTAAAATTCTAGAAGGAAACATAGGCAGTAAACTCTCCAACATTGCTATTAGTAATTTTTTTTCCCTCATATCTCCTTGGGCAAGGGAAACAAAAGAAAAAAATAAACAAATGGGACTACATCAAATTAAAAAAATTTGTGCAGCAAAGGAGACCAACAAAATGAAAAGACAACTTATTGAATGGGAGAAGACATTTGCCTATGATATATCTGACAAGGAGTTAATATCCAAAATTTATAAAAAACTCATATACTTAACACCAATAAAAACTAACAATCCAATTAGAAAATGGCAGAAGACCTGAATAGGTATTTTTCCAAAAAGGACAAATAGTGGCCGATAGACATATGAAAAGATGCTCAAGGTCACTAGTCATCAGAAAAATGCAAATTAAAACCACAATGTGATGTCATCTCATATCTATCAGATTTGCTATCATAGATAAATCGAAAAACAACAAATTTTGGTGAGGATATCGAGAAAGGAAAACTCTAGTACATTGTTGGTGGGACTGCAAATTGGTACATCCACCATGGAAAAAAGTTTGGAGGTTCCTCAGAAAAACTAAAAACAGAACTACCTTTTGACCCAACAATTGCACTTCTGGGTATTTATCCAAAGAAAACCCAAACATTAGTTTGTAAAGATCTATGCAACCCTATGTTCATGGCAGCACTATTCACAATAGCCAAGATATGGAAGCAACCTAAGTGTCCATCGAAGGATGACTGAATATAGATGTGGTATATATATAATGTAATACTACTCAGCCATAAAAAAATAAAATCTTATCAATTTCAATGACATGGATGGACCTAGAGGGTATTATGCTGAGTGAAATAAGTCAGAGAAAGATAAATACCATATGATTTCACTTATATCTAGAATCTAAAGAACAAAAGAAATGAACAAACTAAAAACAGACTTACAAATACAGAGAACAAACTAATAATTGCCAGAGGGAAGTGGGTTGAGGGGCTTCGTGAAAAAGGTGAAGGGATAAAGCACAAATTAGTAGTTACAAAACAGTCATGGGGATTTAGTGTACAGCGTAGGGAATATAATCAATATTATTGTTATGGCACCGTGTAGTGCCGGATGGGTGCTAGAGTAATCTGGGGGATCACTTCACAAATTATATAACTGTCTAATCATTGTATTGTGTACATAAAACTAATATAAAATAATTTTTTTAAAAAAAGCAGATCTAAAGTATTTTGTCAAGTTATCTGTGAGTACATAATCAAGATCTTTAACAGAAAATAAATAAAATTAGTAAAAATGTAGAGTTACATTTTTTTTTGTAATGGAGTATTTATTTCCTTCCTTACCTACACAAATTTCACATTTTTAAATATACAGTTCTACTAGATTGCAAGCTTTAGTAATGTAATTATTTCATTTGCTGAAATCAGTTTAACATCACCCGAATTTTAAGAAAAGCTGTTGTGGCAATTGGAGAGACGGTCTCAATTAATGTAGTGAATAATTCAAAGTTAATTGTATTTCCTTTTTCCAAATACATATTTTACTTTAATTGCAGATGAATAGAAAGATTACATAAAAATATTTAAAATCATTAAGTTTTTAAAATTAAAGCTTTGAGCAGTAAGGTTAACAAAACTATTTGACTAGCATTCCTATTTTGTATGTAAAAAATAAAATAGTAACTCACTTGAAAACTGAATTGCAAATCCAGATTTGCTGATGTAAAAATCCGTGTCAAACTGGATGGTTACAATGTTAAGGGTACTATGGATCCCTTCAGGAATAAGAGATCCACTAATTTCCTTTAACAGCATCTCATTTTCTGGTGGACCATCCCAAACTCGGAGTATATCATGTGATGCTTCCGTATCAAAAGCAAGAAACTGTAGGCTGAGGGCGAAACATATATCTTTGTTTAATTATTTTTAGCATGAATTCAGTTTTACATAAGGAATATAACAAATATGCCTCGTTGCTTTTATTAGATGTTCCTTTTATTTTATCAGATCAAAATAGCATATAATGAATTTTTCTTGAGCAGTATAATTTATTTCTTTAGAATATGAACACATGTACTATTATATCACCTTTGCAAATTACCAAAATTTCAGGTATATGTCCTTTTCAATGCAGATGAATTTTAACAATGGCTATAGCAGGTGACATTTATGAAGGATCTGGTACATGCCAGGAACTATGCAAAATGCGATACATATTTTTTCTTTGTTTAATTATTGTAATGACTGAATGAAGCAGGAATAATTTTATCTCAATTTTATAAACATGGCAAATGGAGTTTAGATGAAATAAAACTTCCCAAAGGGTGATAGAGTCATGAACTGAACTTTTCTGACTCCACAGAATCTGTTTTCACCAGTGTTTCATATTTATTTGCTTGATTTAGAGTCACGCAAGGTTTATTCCAGGAATCTAATAGTTCACATTCAAAAATCAATCAATATACATCATCACAATGAAAGATATAAGGGGAAAAAATCACAAGAACATCTCAATATATACAGAAAAAGTATTTTTAAAAAATTCAATATTATAATCACATTCAGAAATCTAGGAGTAAAAGAGAGAAATTCCTTACTATGAAAAATTACGTCTTCCTGCCCTCAAAAAAACGGACAAGACCCCACCCCCCACAAAAACCTGTTTCATATTAAATCATTCTGCTTATGTCTAATCTAGACAAAGTTAGTATCTGATACTCATGGTGGCTACTACCCAAAACTAGAAATCCGATTATATTAACAGCTCAACTCTCTCTGAATATATATCATATCATATTTAATATGTGAATTTCAATTTGGGTTGCATAGTAATAGCAAATATTGTTCTTTAAAAAAAAATCTAAAAATCCCATTGATATTGTTATTTTTAAGTTTAGTAATTCTAATATTTAAATAAAACAATTACATGAGTTATACTAAATAAAAATAGGCTGAGGATTGATTTAGTGCTGTCTATTTTGAGTTCTGCAAATTCCCTTGTGAAAGCGATAGACCAGTTCACATTCAACAATGTGCTAGTTTACATCCAACAGTGCATTCAGTATATCTTTCAATATGTTATTTGAAGGACAATACTTGTTTTCTATAACCATCCAGAAGCCTGTCTGAAATTCCATTTATATAAAGCAGCGATTCTTAAGTTTAAAGTTGTTGTTTTGTGAACAATAATACACTACCTAGTTCATATGTCAAGGACAATTTATTCATTTATTAAACCATTCCCATGCATAACAATAATAGTTAAACTAAGACTGAGAGCGTGTGATAACCTTGGAAACCTGAGTGGTGTTGATTTAGGAGGCAACAGTTTTGCCACCATCTAAAGGGCAATGGTGTGAAGAATTGTGAGCCACCTAACTGAAGTCAGCAAGAAAGGGAAATCAAACATGGTTAAAGGAGCAGGGAGCAGATGCTCTGGAGATATGCCTGAAGCAATGGAAGGCAGGGGATAGTTATTGAGTCCCCTTCTATTCTTATTTCTTCTAATGTTTGTGAGGCTGAATTCATGATAGTGACCTGGACAATTTTGTACACCTATCAAAATGGTAGACTAGGCATCTTGAGTCATCAAAAATTAAAAGTAGAGTGCCCAGGGAACAGGAAAAATTCTCACATTCTGTGCCCTCTTCTAACTGTGAAAAGTTTCCCTCTAAGGGGTATATGAGCTGCCCCTGTGGCCCACAAATCGATAAATCATGCCTATGAATATTTTTTTATGTTTAACAGATGAAAACTGAGTTTTTTCTTGTCAAGGTTAAAAATATTGAAAAATTTTGATGATTAAGAAATTCAGATTCTCCAGTAATTTTGAGAAAATGAAATCCATTTACCTGACAATGTTTCCTGGATCTACCTCAATCATCCACATGCAACGGAGATTATTGTCATAAGGAAAGGGATAACCAGGAGATAAGATTCTTCCTGATGATTCTCCTTTAAAACGACCTCCACATTCAGCTAATAACAAATAATAAAAATTTAGTAAAAAAATAATTTGTATACAGAAAAAAAAAAGAAAATTTAACTCACAATTTAATGCCAATCTTTTTTAAAACAATCTATAAATTTCACAAGAGCATGTATTTTTTTCACCTTAAGGAAAATAAGAATTGATTTCCCCTCTTCCTGAAAGTATATATTTGTATATGCTTTCTCAGATTATGGTATTAACTGAAGTCAGAACATTATTGCACAATAAAACATGAGTCTCAAGTTAGATCACATAAAAAAGATAATAAAATGAATGTAATTAGGGAATAAAAAGACACACTCAAGAACTCAGTTTAGGGTTCCAAACATTTTAAGATGTGTTGTTAAATAATTATAATTTAAAAAGGGGAAACAGATGGCAAGTTGCTCACTGCTAGTTGGTTGCAGGCTGAATAATTCATCATCTTACTACCCTACCTCTGAGAAAAACTAATCTTTACTGCAGTCCCTCAGGCCTTTTAAATTTCATTGTCCTTTTATTCCCCTTTAAATCACTCTAAACATTTTCCCTTTTAACCTCTCAAAAGTCAAAGTGGCATTTTTATTAGATTTCTTACTTCAGTTAAATCTAGTTTGGTTTTGATTTAATATGGTCTCTAATTTTATAAAATTTATCAAATTAGAAATGTAAGTATTGTCATACAATATAATTAAAATTTTATCTTTTGGGGAATACCTCTCCATTTTAATAATATTTAACATATTGGGATGTCTGTAATAGTTTTATTTCAGTAAGAAGATAATCTAGAAAGAATTCTCTGTATTCAAGAAGAGAGAAAGTATGTTCGGTAGTCTATTGACCAATATCTCTCAACCTTAGAAATAAGGAAAACAATGTGTCATACATTACACATTTGCAAATTTTCCGGATTATCTCCTACCAAAGTATAACCAAAACCAAAACACTTTATTGTTTGCTTAAATATTTGAAGATCCTCTTAGATTTATTTTTCTCATTCTCTGTATTGTTTTTATATTACTGAAATTCAATGACTGAATTAATGAGCTTCTTGGGTTTTCTTTTCTTTTTCTTTTTTTTTTTTAGAGTAAAAGTCAAAGGCAAAGTTTTAGCATTTGGAAGAGACCTAATAATAACAGAATCTAACGGTTCTGTTCTTATGCAGGCTCTATTCATATAGGTAAATCTGTTTCAAAGATTTTACATATACTTCACTATACTGTGGTGGTTAGTTTTATGTGTCAACTTGGCTAGGCTATAGTACCCCATTATTTAATCAAACACTAGCCTAGATGTTGCTTGTGAAGGTATTTTATCAATGTGGTTAATATCTGAGATCAGTTGACTTTAAGGAGATTACAATTGATAATGTGAGTGGTCTTCATTCAGTCAGTCATAAGGCCTTATGTACAAAAAATGAATTTTCTAGAAAAGAACTTCTTCAAGACTGTAGCATTAACTCCTCCCTGAGTTTCTTGCCTTTTGGACCAACCTATGGATTTTGGACTTGTCAGCTGCCACAATTGTTTGAGTCGATTCCCTAAAATAAATAAATCTCTATAGGTAGGTAGATAGGTAGGTAGGTATAGATAGATTGATCTAGATATGGTATTCTATTGATTGTTTTTCTGGAGATCCCTGACTGATACACCCATAGAGGACTGAGTAATTTCATTCTGCATTGCAATATCAATTTAATTTATAACAAACTTGTTTTTAAAGTAAAAAAGATCAGAAATCACTATCACTTATTGTGCTTTTTCTCATTTTTTTAATGAAAACTTTGTTGAACTAGAACTATGTAACTATATTAATTTTTCAATATTTCTTTTGATTTATAACTATTATTGACATATGTCTATTATGAGAACAAACTTGATATTTCATTCCTTATTAATTTTTAATTAACTGCAAGCCAAACTGGAGTTTCATGCACTATGTTGTTATCTTGAATTTAAACATAGTTTTCTTTTCTTCATATTATTTTTGTTACAAATATTGCTTGGCATTTTGACTTCGGATGAGCCAGTGTGATAAGCCATAGAACTAGAGTTCATTTCTGACAGAAGACTTATGTGCACAGGATAAAAATGAAAATGTTTAAAGAAGGTAGAGTAGTCAAATCCCTCCAACTATGGTCCTTAAAAAAATTAATTTTTGTTTGATCATCATAAATACTCCAGAAACATAACTACCTAGAAATATTCCACATAATTGAGAAAAAGTTTCTTATTTGACAAGACAAAAATATAGCCATATAAATATTTAAAGTTAATAGGCAAAGAAAATTATAATCTTAGGCCAGGTGGTAGAGCTATTAATTGTTGCCGGTAGAGAATACCATCTAAAATAAAATTTCATCTTCTGTTATCATGGAAATTATCAGCATGACACACCATGTGTCCAAGTGTTTTTTAGCTCTTACTCCTGATGATCCATCATTGGGGAAGAAAAAGTTTACCCTTTTCATGAAATCTTGAACGTTATCAAGTCACTAAGTTTGTCTTGGGATATATGAAATCTAAAGTGCATTGATTCGTTGTAAAAATCATTAAAATCTTCTGATCTCAGAACAAATGTCCTTCTATTTGCATAAAATTCTTCCAAAAAATAATGTTTTCGGCTTCATTCAACACATATAGAAAATACATAGTCTTTAATGTATTTATTTTGTGATTTTAATTTTAGGGACATCATGGCAAGTCAGTATTTACAAATTTATAGTTTATGCCATTACAAGCCTTAATGATTTTCTCAATATATTTCCTATACACATCAAAGAATATAACTTCAGAAAGAATTAATCAATGCTACATTTTTCTCATAACAAATGCCAGTGGGCTGATTGTTGGCCATATTCCAGAATTTCAAGCTTTATCAATTTGGGTGATTGTTATTTTACATATTACCCTATCCAAAATTCAGATTCTACATGAAAAGAAACGGTTATGATTGAATTTTGGTTAGATAAAAACATGTTTGCTTTCTGCATGAATCTCTGTTTTAATAAACCAATAGAGGTCTCAGCATCAAAAACACTGTGCAATCAGTTGCAAAGCCTCTAATGACTAAAAGTTCATTTTTAAAAAATTTATTTTAAAGTTTTGTGGGTATTTCCAAGTTGACCACACCAACTAACAAAGATTGAAATTTGTCTCAAAAGATTCAATATTCAAAACACATGAAGTTTTATACATTAAATATGTGTGGCTCTTTTGGGTATCAATTATACCTTAATAAAACTTTTTTTTTTTTAAATTAGGTCAATTTAATTCATACGGGCCTGATACAAGATAGATTTATGCCTCCATAAATGCCATCACAAAATAAGAATGACTAAAGAATGACTGCATGTTTGTTCCCTACCAAGGAGTTAGTATTTTGTTAAAATGCTGTTTTCTTTTGTTGTCCTAGTATTCCAACCTGGCACCTATTTGATCTTTGGGGTAAAAAAATCAGAGGTCTTTATAACACTTTTCTATCCACCCTCTCACCCATATATACCCAGTATTCATTAATTGATCTATAAAATGGCAGTAATAAAATAGTACTCCAATTACACAAAGGAGAAAATGACCATTCTCTAGCTTCATGTAAGCAATATATCTGATGTTACTCACGTGAATCTTCTTATTGAAATTGGTTATGTTTTGCTACAGACACACACATACACAAAATATGCACTTCTTTAGATTTTTGAAAAGGTAAGTATATAAAGTCTTTTTAAGTTATTAAAAATTATTATTTTTAATCTATCTTGATAGTAGAATAGGCAATAATTTTTATATTGAACAAATATGATCGATGTGACTCAAATGTATATAATTAAGAGTCTTAACATATTTTTGTAGTGAGTTAAATTTTATAGGAGAAATAAAATGACTCTATATTGAACCAAAAAAGTAATAGATTATGAAAAAGAACCCTTTCACTTTCCATTAATTTCCTTCTGACAAATTTGAGTTCACTAATTTCTTTTTTCAAAGGTTTAAAAATAAGGTAATTTTTTTAAATTTTCATTAACTTTATCTGGCTAATATTGGTTAATAACCTTATATAAATTTCAGGTGTATGACTTTATAGTAGAATAACAATTGTATTCTCTACAAAAACATGGATAGATCTTGAGAGCATTATGCTCAGTAAAATAAATCAGACAGAAAAGGACAAGAACCTATGATTTTACTCATATGTGGGATATAAAACAAAAAGCAACAAATGAACAAAAGAAATATACAAACAAACAAAAAAACCAAACTCATACATAGAGACAAAACCAAACTCATACATACAGAAAAAAGGGGAAAGGGGGTCAAACACATGGTGATGGAAGTAGACTAGACTTCAAGTGGTGAGCACTTCTTGATTGGAGGTTTGAGTTGTGTGTGGACAGAATCACTTGAAAGAGTACAGTGTATTTTAGAAACACTTTTACAGAAATATTTCATAAAACATTTAAATTTAAACATTAAACATTAAAATTAATCCTACCAATACAGGAAGGCAGAGGGTAGTCCCATGCCCTTCTCTCCCCTGTCATGCACTTAAGAAGGCTACTTCCATGGAGAGTATAGCCTGGATTGCATCCATAAATGATAGTGCTACCAGCAAAGTGGCCTTGGTCACTGATCTTGTATCCAAATTGTGGAATGCCAGGATCCTCACAATGTGAAAGTTCAAAACCTGTGAGAAGAATATAAATTTATTAAAGGTGATATTTAACAGGAAGAGTTAAAACTGTACAAATCATTTCTTCCTGTTATTTTAATAGTTGTATTAGTTATAGTACTCTTACCGCATTTAATTTTGATAGTAGTATACAATAGCCATAGAGAGCTTTTTAGTCCGTGAAAATTAGAATATGTTGCATTTTTCAAATTTATCAATGATACCCCATGGTCTATATAGATGGCAATAATGTGGCTTGTTATAGTACTAAGCTTCTTGCCTACTTCAAGTGATTTATAGCTAACAATAGATTCTGACCAATATAACTGTTAGGATTGTACTATCAAAAATTCAGACAAAATTTGTAAAATCCTAACTCTCCATTTAATTAATATTTCCACTGCAAATATAACTTCAGACTGTTTTACTATTATTGTCTTAGAAGAAAGTGAAGTAGTCTCGTACTTAAAATATACTTGATCATAAGGTAACTGAACATAGTAATTAGCCTGACGGACTCTGAATTGTTATATTCCAGAAATTAACAGCTCTCAAAAATTCCCGCAGGAAAAAAAAATAGCACATTTTTCTTCCTACATGTTGTCACTCTGGAGCGTAGAAAAATAATTTTGTATTTTTACAGTTAGGACTTTCTCCATTAATTTTTCAGAAACTTGAGGCTATAGGCTTAGAGCAATCCTCGAGAAGTTATTTTACAACTACCAGAGGAGTGAGAGAACTCCAGAGAGACTTACGGAACCCTGAAGGAGGTTCGTGTTTACATTTCAAGGGAAAATGAGGCCCAGATCTTTACAGACATCTCTAGATTACAAAAACTAGAGACACTGAAGGCTAACTTGCCCTTGGAGAGGTATGTTTACATTTCAAAGGTTAGAATAAGAACCCAGAATCCTTTCCACATCATCTCCAAGAAACAAAAATTTCTCTCCCTCCTTTTGGAAGAGAAGGAAGAAATAGCTACTTTAAACAGAGCAAGGCTATATTTCTTCATCCCTTGACCCTGGCCACTTGTGTAAATTTTTCCATCTAATTTTCATCATGTTACTGCAGGGGTAAGGACTGGGTCAATAGGGAGCTGACACAGCTATTATTGTTATTATTATATTACCTTAATAATAATAATTAATCTCTCTAGATCCAGAACACCTCGTGTGCACATACAGAAAATTAATAAAGATGGATATTAAAAACTTAACAATTAAAGTACAATGAACTGCTAAGATTCTGAAAGAACTAGAAAAGGATACTTCATAATTTAAACCAAACATGGCACTGATAATCAAAACCTAAGATCTCTAGCTATGGAGTTTTTGTCTTTCATGTTTTACAAAAAAAAATGATCAGGTACAAAATTATATCAGTTATGATATCTGAGATTAGAGGATGATAAAAAATATTCTAGTCTATGGCCATGCCACCCTGAACGTGCCCGATCTCATCTGATCTCGGAAGCTCATAAGCAAGGTTGGGCCTGGTTAGTACTTGGATGGGAGACCACCTAGGAATACCAGGTGCTGCACGTGTCAAAAAAAAAAAAAAAATTCTAGATAGCCTCATGCATGACGGAAATCCTGATTTCAAGACAATGTTGGAGAAAAAGAAAACTTTTATGTGTGTCTTAGATTATATGATAATCAAAAAGAGATTTGCATCTCTGTTATACACACAGATCCTTGACGTGTGTGTATATTAGTCTAGATTTGAATTAGAAAGCAAAAAGCATAAATTAGTTCATTGATGTCAAATCACTAATTTACATCACTGGCTTTTTTGAGTATCAGAACATATATAAAACCATCAGAACTTGTGAGTACTGAGTTTACACTGTCTGTCTGTACGTGGAGGGCTATGTTAGCTCTCAGAGAACAAGGGAATCGCTCTCTAGTCTCTTCAAGGGAAGCTTAATCATTCTCTCCTCTGTTAACTCCTAGAATTACTCTGTGCATTCCAATTAATTTTAATTTACAATCATTTACTTTTTTTCTTTTTTTTTCTTTGTACAAACAAATGATTTCATTTTTTTCCTCTTTCCCACAACACCTACCCAGCATAAATTCTGGCATATAGCAGATGTTAAATAATGTTCATAAATGAACGTACATTTTTAGAGGCAATAATTTCTAGGCGACAATTAAACAAGAAACTAAAATGATGCCGATGAAAAGCTGAAATTTATGGGACAATTTAAAAAAATCTTCGGGAATTTCCTGTATGGATGAATTTGTGACAGCCGCATTTGGGTGAAAATATTTTAAAATAAGGCAAATACAAATAGCTGCAGAGACAGAGCCATACAGGTTAGAAGTCGTTAACTCAAATGGTGACATATATATATTTATAACAAGATATAAAGTATATACATGATCAAGCAAGCCAGTCTTTCAAAAAAAAAAAAAAGTAGAAACAGCAGAAGTTGTAACTTTAAATTTTCAGGACATATTCCTTTGCAAAAGTCTGCATACTTAATACTACTGTAAAGGGTCCCTGCTTAAAAATTCTTTCTACCAGACATAATATTCAGTTTATCATTCAAGATGCAGCCGCTTTTGAGTTCTACCGTATGTCATTAATCAAAATAAAAATGGAAATTAAGTCTTCTTTACTAGGTTTACTACCAAATTCATTCTTTCTTAATTTGAATGTTCTGTAAATGTGGTTGGTAATTGCTGGTGATGAGGTAAAACGAAGATATTCTTTGTAAATTAAGATAATTTATAATACTTTGCATTGTAGATGAAAATGCACATGAACAATAGTATATAAACTACAAAGCGCAGCATAATTTAGTCCAATTTGGTGGAATTATTGTTGCTTATTCATAAATATTCAGAACTGTCTTATCTTTATGGAAACATTCAGCTGCCAGTCTTTTCATTGAAAGGCATAATACTTGAAACCATCAATTAAATAAAGAATTATACAAAAAATCACATATACTATAGTCATCATTCCTTGAGAAATTTGATCCTCTGATTATATTAAAATTTCTTTTTGATTGTTGAATAACTTAAACTGAGATCTAATTTCTTTCCTAAAGGAATACAGTACATTTAAGGATTTTAATTTCGGTTTAAGTTATAACTTGAAACCTACAAAGGAATACAAAGAATAACATTTTACCATTTCACTCTGTCACATTCTAGGAAAATAATTTCTTCATATTAATATTAATTTTAATTCAGACTAGTTTTCAGATTAATCTTCATATTGATTGACTCATATTTACATTAACATTATTATTATGAAATAAATATTATAAAACATGTTAAAGTTCCTTTTGTGTCCCTCTTCAATCCCCTTCTGGTCTTTCTCTACTGAGAGTTAGCAAATTTTCTGAATTAGTACATCATTCTCACACATATTTTACATGCTACCACATATATATGCTACTATCTGTATATCTATGAAAAATATATAATATGTTTTGCAAGTATTTATATATCTTATAAATTACAAAAAAAATCTCCTAAGGCTTTATTTGTTCCATAGCATTGTGTTTTTACTTTCAAATTTATACAAACATATAACACACACACAACACACAACACATGACACACACACACACACACACACACATACACACACTCTATTCATTTTAACTCTCTGTGGTATTCCATTGGAATCATACTCCAAAAATGTTTCACTCATTCTCCAGCTGACGAGCATATATAATGTTTCCAATTATTTACTGTTAAAAAATGGCTGTACTTCTATGTCTCTTTTTACAAATGTGCAAATATTTCTATAGGGCAAACTCCAAGCAGGAATCCAAAGTTCATTTCATCCTTAATATTCAATTGAAATCTGCAGATCTGCTATTTCTACCTTGACCCACTGAAAGATAAACAGCTGCATCCCTACCTCAGTGTAATTTCTGTTCGATTTGTTTATGAATAACAACTGTGTATTCACATAGGATAATGTTGTATCTGGTCAGCAAAACAGTAGTCAGATGACTTACTATTATAAGCAATATCTGAAAATTCACTTTTTGAATATAAGTAGCATTGTTCATGTAACTTAAAATAAGAAGGCCCTTATGAGCTTTAGTTTTTTGAAATTCAGTTAACATGTAAATATATTTGTTATTTGCTAAAGTTAAATTTTAGAGTATTTAATGGTGAATGAAAGTATGTTAATTTTATGTACCAAAAGTAAGACCTTTCAAACTGCTAAATAAAAAGAGAAACAGATTGTTAACAAGGAAATGAAGAAAGTGTGTTAGCTAAATATATTAGGGGAATATATACTTTTTGAAACCAAAAACATTAATAAAGTTTTTTTTCATTTTAATTGATGTAATTGACATAACATTATATTAGTTTCAGGTTTACAATATAATAATTCAATATTTGTATATGCATTATTGTGAAATGATCACCACAATAAGTTCAGTTAACATTCATCACTACACATACTTATAAACTTTTTTATTATGAGAAATTGTAAGATCTACTCTCTTTACAATTTTCAAACACACAATACAGATTTTTAACCACAGTCACCATGCTGTACATTTCATCTCCAGGGCTTATTTATAAGTAGAAGTTGTAGCTTTTGAACACTTCAATCATTTCAAAGAGACAAATGAGGATTATTTTATCATGATTTTAATGTGTATAAAATCCTTTGAGGAATTTAATTCATAATATTTACAAAATCATCTTTAATAATTATATTTATTATTTGATTATTAAAGTCCATTTAGGCCATTAGCCTTGCAAGAAAAACCCTTATTTTAGAATTCTTTATATTTAAATGATGATGTATATAAAACAATATTAACTTTGCCACTTTAAAATTCACAAGCAGGAAATAATCCATAACATATATAGCAGCTATGATAATCCTCTTTGATTCAGACATAATAAATATAATGGGACTAAAGAAAAGAAGAAAGTGTTGAAGAACAAGTACATATTGTTTTTACTCACTAATCAAACTAATAAAAAAAGATACATTTATTCCTCACTAATCAAACTATATAAAACATT